CTTCATTAAGGTAAAAACCACGGCTAGCCAAGTTTATGCCGTTTCACATGGTTTTCACCAAAAGACCAAAAACGAAAGGTGGTTTTTGACAAGCTTTTGTTGGAGAACCATTTGGATATGTCCAGAAGTAAAAACCAATCATAAAATATTAAAAACCACTTGATTGATTTGGACGCCAAAAACCAACGCCGATAACCAACACCGAATGCTGATAACCAACGCCGAAAAACAAAGGTTATGGTTTTTGAAAAATAATGATTTGGAAAACCTTTTAATGTGTCCAGAAGCTTAAACCAAGGATAAAAACCCAAAAACCATTTGGTTAAAATCAATGCCGAAAACCGAACGCCATAGCCGAACGCCGATAACCGATGGTTATGGTTTTGGTTAAGCTAGAACCATGGGTTTTAGAAACTTAAAAACCATTTATGAAAACAATCATTTGATGCATGAAAAACATATTTTGTTTTGAGCCATGACATAGAGAAATTGAATGAGCTTGTTACAATAAAAACCTAAGTATTTAGAATACGTCTTCAAAGCGCCAGTGTTGCCATCTTTAGCAACGTCAATGCCGTTCTTGTGCTTTTTGTTTCTTCAAAGAACTTTTTCTATCTTTTCATTTTGTTCCATGTTCCCAACGGTTTGTCAATATCAAAACCTAAACGGAAACGAACATTGTCATTAGCAAAATGTCAAAGTGAAAATGTTTTCCAACACAAAAATGGCGAAGAAACCCCTATGAAGAAAGTGGGAGAAACCACGGTCCCAAAGACCGAAAATGAATTTGATGCCGAGGACATCAAGAAGATTGAAAACTATGCAAAGGCCATCAATATGCTATATTGCACGGTCAACCCCGATGACTACCGAAAGATCTCCTGTTGCACAACCGCCAAGGAGATGTGGGACAAGCTTGAGGTGACGTACGAAGGTACCGATCAAGTTCGCGAAGCCAAGATCGACTTTCTCACCCAAGAGTACGAAATGTTCCGAATGAAAGAAGGTGAGAAAATTGGTGACATGTTCAACCGGTTCTCAAAGATCATCAACGATCTTCATGCTCTCAAAAAGACTTACACCAACAAGGATCTCGTGAGGAAAATCCTGCGGAGCCTCACACCCGAATGGAGGTCTAAAGCCGATGCAATCTATGAATCCATTGGAGTCTCCAACGTCACCATCGACGGGCTAAGAGGTAACCTTAAAACCTATGAATCTACTATTCTAACCCCGTCTTTGGATGAACAAAAGAAAAGGGGATAGCTCTCAAAGCTACCAAGGAACCGGTGGAAGAGGCTTCAAGCGATGACGACAATGAATTCGGGCTGGTCATCAAGAAGTTCCACAAGTTCATGAAGAAGGAATTTGAGCGGAAGGGAAGGAAGCATGACGGTCCTCCCAAGTGTTACGGCTGTGGCGAGATTGGCCACATCAAGCCAAGGTGTCCAAAGGCCAAACACGGCAAGGATAAGCCTGGCTTCAAGAAGCAAAGGGCCTACATCTCTTGGGGTGGCGATTCCGGCGACGAATCAACCGACCAAGAGGAGGATGAAGCTGCAAATCTCTGCCTCATGGCGCACGAAGATCAAAGCGACGACGTCCAAGAGGTATGTAACATTTCTTCCGACTCTTATACTTTTGAAGAAATGCAAGAAGCACTTCATGAACTTTATGAAGAATTTGTTAGCGCCTCTAAAACAAATAAATCTTTGAAGAAACGTCTTTCTACACTTGAAAACGATTTTGAAAAATTGGAAAAAGAAAATGAAATACTTAAACAAGAAAACAAATTTTTTGGAAAAAGAAGCGCTGACAAACCAGAAAGTTCTTCAAGTGAATGTGGGTCTTGTAAGGCTTTAAAAGAGCAAGTCGCTAAACTTGAGAGCACGGTCAAGAAA